GGTCATCGCCCAATCACAAGAAGAAGAGGTGCTCCATGTGGACATGAAGGACAAAGCTGTGTGTGATGTAATGTCCACGTCTCCATGCTGCTCTGACCCCCCTCCTCCTTTCAGGGTAGAGCCTGATGGAGTCCGATGGCTGAGACCAGGTCTGAGGAAGTGTAAGTGAGCTTTGATTCATGAAGATTCAACCATCTTCACACTGTGACATCACTCATTCACCTCTGTGACGTCATCATCAACGTGTCAGTAGATGAACACATGATTAATAACTGCAGCTGTATTGTGTCTTGTTCTCTCATCAGATTCCTGTGAACTCACAATCGACACAAACACAGTAAACAAACAACTCAAACTGTCTGACAACAACAGGAAGGTGACACATGTGGAGGAGTATCAGTCGTATCCTAAACATCCAGACAGATTTGACATCTGGGATCAGCTGCTGTGTAGAACTGGTCTGACTGGTCGCTGTTACTGGGAGGTCGAGTGGAGAGGAAACATTAATGTATCAGTGAGTTACAGAGGAATCAAGAGGAAAGGAGACAGCTTTAACTGTTGGTTTGGAGTGAATGATCAGTCCTGGTGTCTGAGATGCTCTGATGAAGGTTACTCTGTCTGTCACAATAAGACGGTAACACCCATCACCTCCTCCTCCTCCTCCTCCTCTGGTAGAGTAGCAGTGTATGTGGACTGTCCTGCTGGCTCTCTGTCCTTCTACAGAGTCTCCTCTGACACACTGATCCACCTCCACACCTTCAGCACCACATTCACTGAACCTCTTTATCCTGGGTTTGGGTTTGTACCCTGGCATGATTCTGATTCCTGTTCTGGTGCCTCAGTGTCTCTGTGTTCTCTGCAGGAGGGAGAGTCTCCTCCTGGTGGAGAACCTTCCTCACTGCTCACCACATAGTTCAGTCTGTGCAGCTGATGGTGGTTCATGTGGGTGTAGATGCAGGTGGAGCAGGTGAGGGGTACCTGAGCTGGTCTGGACTCTGGGGGGTCCACAGCTCTCTGGGACTTGTGGTGTTGCAGATGGAATCAATAATTATCGTTTAGATGTTTAATCTTCATCTTTATGTGTCACAATGTTCAAGTAGACGTTTGATAAACGACAAATAAGGAAAATATGAATAATTATTTTAGCAGATTTCAACTTCAACTTCAAATGTTTAATGAGATAATATCAGGTGCTTCTGTTTCTAACAGTATATTTAGTCCCTCCATGTATTACTTTGCTGACATACTTGTATGATTAAAGTCTGATTATTGCAGCAGGAAATTAATAATAAAAGTGAAACAATCGTCTCAAAAGTGACTTGATTATTTAGTTCTTTTCTTCATTTTAAAGTTTCAGCTTTAATTTGTTTTCCTACTTGAACTATTAAGTTATAACACGTTTATACATCAATGTGTCGTAAACACTTATCAGAACAAACAAAGACGACATCAAATCAAACTTTATTTCCTGCAGATTTAAAAAACAAAATGAAAGCAGAAGCTCGTTTCCTCTGGATGGAATGAATCCATCAACGCTGTGTCTCCCACAGAGGAAACGAGCAGATAGAACCAGTCACATGATCCCTGTGTGTTTAAAGTCTCTCAGTGGAACGAGTCCCCACTCGTCCCGTCTTCATCCGTCCTCTGTGGACCGTCGCCATGGCGACCGTCACTCGTCCGAGCCGGCTGAGCGTTTCTGGTTCCTCTTGCGAGGAGATCTTCTGGGAGACGCTTTGTCTGGAGAGAAGAAGAGAAGAGAAGTCACCTCCGTGATGAAGATGTTTCATTCTGTTTAAACGGAGGCTGAAGACGTTTTGCTGCGTGTTGTTCATTAGTTATTTCATCTCTTAAGCACAACACACACACACACACACACACATCTCACCTCTGCGACTCTGCACTGGAGACGCAGGGAAACATGAGAGAGAAACAGTGAGTGACCCTCATGCAGAGTGGAGGTTAAAGGTCAAACAGGGAGAGAACAGCTGATTCTGCGAGAAAAACGGCAGCAGAGATGAAAGCGTCCGAGCAACAAAAGAATGTCACTTTATGTCTTTATGTTCTCTACAAAACCTCTGAAGCCTTTTAGATGCTTTCAAATATTCATCATGAGGATCAACTTCCAGAAGAAGCAGAGAGACAGAAGGAGACAAAGGGAGAGACAGAAGGAGACAGAGGAGCCCTACTGATCTGGTTGAGGGTCTCCTGAGGGATCCAGCTGAGGTCCACGTCGTTGTGGCTGGAGGTCCCCATCTCCACCTTTGGTGCCAAACACGATTTGTTGGCGCCCAGGGGTTAGTGCACTGAACTGTGTTCGAAGGGTTAGGTAACCGTGGACCCTTCAGTTTATCGTCATTCAAGGCTTCACCCTTCAGTTTATCGTCATTCAACACTTCTGTCGGGATCTCCGATCCCCCGAGTCGGTTGATGAGAAGGATCCAGCACGTTGATCAATTAAAGTCAAAAGGTTTACATTTATTTAGAAGAGAAAAAGATTACGTGAGCAATTCTCTGCAGATATCGGTCTCTAACTATTGCTTGCAAGCAGGAGGTCCAACACCAGCACGTATTCCAGCGCTCTGTGTAATGGCGTCTCCGAGGAGTAAAAACGCTGAGTTTTTATACACTTGAAGACAGTTCTTAGCGGCGGTTACGAGAAGCCACAAATCAAGTTGAGATAAGAACTTAGGTGAAGCTGAGGGTAACACCCAATGCTCCTCTGATCGAAGGTCCGTGAGAGCGAGATGACCCCCTTCCCCAAACACAGCTGCAAACCCTAAATCTTTCTATCTCCCTCCATCTCAGGGTCAACCACTGCGACTTGGCTTTTAGCGCAAGACAATTGTTTACAGAATGTTTTCACCACTACGAGCATCTCACACCGGCAGAAAACAAACAAACAACCCAATGGACGACACAAGAGTCCCTAGTAGAGCACAACGGCGTAGATTCGGGTGTTCGGTTGCCAACTACCATGGGTAAGTTCATTTCAGTTGCATCACACTAAAACAAGTGCTAGGTACCAGATGCTAGCTGATGCTGTTTGTGAGACGTGTTAGCAGTGCTAATATGTGTTGAAACATGTGTACCTTCACATAACTAGCGAGGAATTAAATCGACGATGAAAACAATGTAACAATGATAATACGTAAGGCTAACCCGGGTCCCACTTGATAACCGTAGCTTTCCAAGCTAACATGGGTGCCACTTGCTAGCTAGCCCTTAGCCTTTGAGAAACGTGTAGATCTTCCCACTAACCTGCAAGAAATTTAATTTAGAATGAAAGTTACAAACGTAATAAAGTGTACATTACATAAACTGTACTTTCTACATTTGTTTTGCACTATAGTTGAGTTTTTATGTTTTTTGTCCATTTTTATGTGCAGGTAATTTCTTTGTGCACGTTATTTTACGCACGTATTTGCTGTAAAGCACTTTGAGCTGCATTCTTTGCATGAAAGGTGCTCGATAAATAACGTTTTATTATTATTTGTGCTGTACCATCTTCTAGATACTACAATGGACCCGGAAGAGACGCTGCTCGGAGGCTCATCTGGAACCTCCTCACCTACGTCAACTCCACCACCTTCTGCTCCACTGCGTGCTACCTCCTCCGTTAGGTCGACTCTAGCTGCTCTCCACCACCTTCTACTCCACTGCGTGCTACAATCACCGATGATCTACCGTGGTAAGTTCTGCAATATTATAACTGCATCAACATATGGGCATCACAAAGAATCTTCATGCCATGCTGTCACTCATCCTGTGTAGTCTAACAAACAGCTGATGTCGAGATGGTTACTACCACATGCCTAATCGGTAGGGACACGACTGACTTTATAGCTGCCGTTTCTTAAAGGAACGAGGACCCAGCAAACAAGGCCAGTGAGAGACGTCCATGTGCTGGTAAACCAGATGCAAGTCATGACTCGACAATGGAAGGAGGACATGGCAAGAAGTGAGGCCCGGGAGGAACGGTTGATCTCCAGCATCCTCCGCACTGACAGTACGGTTGAGAAGCTGATGCAGAGAATGGAGAACATTCAACCTCAACCAACCACATTCTCACCACCACCACAACATCAACCACCGCAAGATGCCCATTATGGTTATGGATGCTTACTTATTTACACTAGCGCCTGAAAAGCACAATTTATACACTCTACCTCAGTGTGTGTGTGTGTATATATATATATTTTCTGTGACATTCAAGGTTTTACCTTTTATACTTGTGTGCTCTTATACCTCGTTTTACTTTTAATATTTCGTATAAATAAAACACTTAACTAAAACCTGGTGAGTTTCTTTATTTGTGGAATGAAACACACATGAACTGTACAAGAATTGTGTTTACAAACCTATGACCAGCTGGCAGTTGTGTCCTGAAGACGTCTAAAGGTCTGCGCGGGGCAGGTTTGCACTCAGGTAATCTGAGGGCGGCTCTGATCCTCTGTCCACGGTTGTTGGCACGACCACCTGGCTGTGGCAGGTTCGATGCCAGTGTGGCCGCTTCCACTGACCAGTTGGGATCCACAGCTTCCCAACAGGAAGTGAGCGATTTCTCTCGGTTCCTGGGAGGAGAAACAGAAATGGTTTCCAGTGTTGGACCTGCTTACTAAATGGCCCAGCAAAAATAAAACAATATATACATAAAAGCACAATAAAGCCTCTATAAAACATCATTCTACTTTAAGCTGGTAACATCTCAATAGCTTGGTGGGAGCTCCACTAGTTTCTGCATGAATAACTTTCAGTAGCTCGACTCATTTATTGATCTCATTGATTTGATCCACACATTAATACGTCTTCAGAGTACGACTTACTTCTGCTAACAGGCGTGTCTGGCTGAGCACGTTAGCGTCATGAGCTCACCCAGGCATCTTACAGCTGATGCTCCACAAGCTGAAAGAGAACAAGTCGTCAGCTTCTAATGGCACACACGACACACTAACACACGCGTGAACATACGTAGGCGACACAGGACACACAAACACGCACACGCAGGCCTGAGGTCGCGGTGAATTGAACGGATCAGTAAGCGTTCACGTTGCACAGCGCAGACAACTAAACGTATTTGGCCCAAACTTAGCGATACGTGTCGTGCACTACGCCTTGGAGGACAGCGGCATCGGTGCTCGAACAGTCACCTCCGCGGGCTTCATGACTCCTTCCATAATTCCACACAACTTGTGGAAAGATCCTCGAGTCGTGCGAAAGTTCGCTTTCCAGTCGTCGTCATCCGATACGGTGAAAACAGAAGACTTTGTTTCTGCTCTTCATCCAGAGCTCTTCCAGACCTTTGCGGTACAATGGCAGAGTTCAACAATGTATTGTTGGTCAGAATTAAATTCTCCATGTACCTTCGGCGACGGCGTCTTCTCTCCGTTATCGAATCAGCCAATAGCGCCATTCGCATTCGCCGCGCTCCTGTTAGCATCACGCACACATAGTAGAGGGACGTAGCTTCACCTCGCTCTCCGCTCGCCGTCTTTCTCCTGACGTTGATGTTGTTGTTGTTGTTGTTGGTCGTGGTGAAGAGGTCAAGCGGAAATGGCTGCATCACAACTAGTTGTAATGAAAACAGCGCCACCTATCGTACCGGACATGACGTGTTCTCAGCCAATGATTCCATTTATTCACTGCCGTGAATATTGAGATAACAGCACCTCCCCCCGAAAGATTACAATGATACCATCACGTACACACACACACACACACACACACACACACACACACACACACACACACACACACACACACACACACACACACAGGAGAGGAGGAAGGCGTAACTACCAAAGACCACTGGACGATTATGAACCTGTATGCGAAGGCACCAGCTTGCTAGCACAATAAGTAAAGCGCGCTGCTACAATGGATGGCTATGGTGGCTTTATTTCCCCTACAATAACAATACAAACAATTACACACAAGTACAAAGACACGGGACAGGAGGACGGACAGGGAACAAGGCCTGTGGAGTCGGCCGGTGCCAGCGGTCTGTCAAAGCAAAGAAACAAAAAGGACCCGGAGCTTCCCTGATCCTCTAAACAGGGGGGGGCAATTATTTTTCCCAGGGGGCCAAATGAGAAACTGAAAATATTTTGGAGGCCAAAATCCTGAACTCAATTATGCAGAATATACATTGTTTCTATATTAAAAGCAGTAAATGGCATTGTTTTGACCGCTGGTAAGAGTGTACGTTATTATTTGCCAATTCAAAGGTGAGGTTACTTTCAAAAGTAGAATTTATTCAAATATAATTTTCAAACTGAAACCATTTTCAGTCCCATAAATATCAAAAGGGCATTTTGAGTTTCATATACTATTGAAACAAGGATTTTCTTTGCTTTCTAAAGACATCATCAGTCCCAGTTTCGGAGCCTTTTTGACTTTACACGCCTGTATTAAAACATTTTCAGAACGGTGCAAAAAAAGAAAAGAAGCATATCAAGTGTCCCATTTCACTTGTTATATTCACACATTTTAGTGTCTTCAGTTCTTTTCTCATTCATGTGAGAAATCCAGTCTCTGTGGAGCTGCAACAAGTCCATCAAAGTCAGGTTGAATGTCTGAGGTGGAGATGTGAAGCACAGCTGACATCAGCGAGAGGATCTGTACCTGGATTTGGTAAACGTCATGACTGAGAATGTCTGTTCACATATGTAGGTGGATCCACAGAGAACCAACATCTTCTGAGCACGTCTCCTCCTGTTTGGAAAGTTCTCCTCGTTGAGAGCAGAGTAGAACTCTGGCAGTGATGCTGACTTAAAGTGCTCTTTCAGTA